CATAAACAAGGAAGTCTAAGAAACAGGCATATAGATGGATCTATGAGAGTAGGTATGAGTATGAAACCTTTGATCCCATGTTAACATCAATCAGAGAGCATCCACCTCAGAAAAAGCATTAAACAACCAAGAAGACAGAAAAATTTGACCAGTTAACATCAGCCAGCTTCTGTCATCGACCACCTAGTATTGGCATAAAGGATGCATGAATTGAGTAGCCCTAGTGGCAAGGTTGAAGGTTGATGCATGGGCCCAACAGCATGAGTCCCATCACTAAGGCTAATCTAGATACTGCTGCTGCCAAATGTCCATCTTGCTAACAACAGAGACCAAAGATGAGCCCCTCATATGCCACCATCCCTCAAGAAGACTATCCAGCCTCTTGTTGGCTGGTTGATCAGATTGGATTTTTCTTCATACCGTAAGAGGTAGCAACTCAACTTTACTAGAATCAGCATATATTCCAAGTATGGGTTTGCCTTTCCTGCCTGCAGGCCCTAATTTAGCCTCACTCTCCAAGAGCTTACACAGTGTTTGATCTACTGACACAAGATCCTACATTGCAGCGGTCCCATAACCAGGCAATCCACTGGTCCCAGCACTTACTGTGCCATCTGGAAGATGCTGACCTGGTAGATCAATCAAATGGCCTGATGAAGGCATAGCTGAGGCAGGAACTTTCAAATAATGCCCTGGGAAAATGAGGAATCCCTCCAGAATGTTGTACAATGCTCAATCAATGACCTTTTAATGGTGCTATCTACCCAATAGGTATACCACATGGGGCCAGGAACCAAAGGGTAGAAACAGGAGTGACCCAGCTTACTCTCACTCTCAGTGACCCACTTGAGGAATGTATTCTTCCCTTCCTCTCAATGCTGGGTTCTGCAGGTTTAGAACTTCTGGTTCCCAGATAGGAATGCTTCCACCATGGGACACAGCAAGGGTGCCATTGAACTTTAAGCTAGTGCTCCCCATTCACCTTATGCTTCTTGTACTAAGAGACCAGTTAGCCAGGAAAGGAATCACATCTTGGCAGGGATAATTGGCCTGCTCATCAGAAAGAAGTAGGACCACTGTTACACAGTGAAGACACGGAAGAACATATTGGCACCCAGATGCTCTTTCTCAGTGCCTCTCAGTACTCCCTGGCACCATTTTGATCGTAAATGGACAATTCACAGCCACATACCATGAAGAACATGGTGACTAGGGGCTCAGACCCCTCAGAGATTAGGGGCTGAGTTATCCCAGCAAGTGAGCCAGCTAGACTAGCAGAGGTGCTAGCCAAAGGTAAGTGGAATTTAGAATGGTTAGTAGAGGAGAGAGATGTTAAGTTGTAGCCTTGAGACCAACTGAAGCAGCTAGAGCTAGAGGTCACCCCACTAACCTTCCTCTTGCAATTTTTCTAGGAAAAGCACATGAAGATCCAGTAGGAGCCGTTCCTAGAGAGTATTATATGAAGCTTGTGGATCGGAGCAGGGCAAGTGGTGGCCTGTTGTGGCTGCTGTGGTGTCCAGATCAACCTTCAGGACTGAACCATCCATTCTCCCACCTCCTGCAAGTGTTAGCAGCTGAGCTGAGGAAGGCTCTGTAAGCTGAAGAAAGGCTTCTTCTCCTAGATCATGGACACACACACACACACCGCTCCAATTTCTGGAGGCAGCTCACATCCAAATATTGGTCAGTATGGGAGTATAAAGGCCTAGTTCTCTTTCCTCCCTGTGGGTTGACTCCACAGAGCCATTCCACTCCAGATCTTCCCATTAGGTCAGCAGAGGGCTTCCTGGTGCCTACACTGCAGGTCAATCATCCTACTTTCTTCATTCTCACAGGTGTGATTCCCAAGAGCACTCTCAATAAACTTCCTTTGCAAAAAGATCTCAATCTGAATATTTTCCCCCAGGGCATCCAACCTGCAATATGGAATATTAGTTTAGAAAAATATAAATTTAAAATTTTTTAAAGCACGCTCCTGTATCTATCCTCCTCTTTACGCAAAACATCTTCACCCAGGATACCTCAAGTCCCAGGGCTACTTCAGAGTAGAATATTAAGGAAAGAGGTTAAGCAAGGTGAGCTGGGTTTAAGGTGAATGAATGTGTTCTGAGTCAGCTGCAAAAAGCCAAGAGAATCACCACGAGATTTGAAAGCAGTGAAGATCATATTCATGGCAGGAAAAATGAAGATAATCTGTGAAATACACATGACAGTGGAGTTTAGTTAAAGAATTATTTTGTTCATGCTGAGCAAGACTTTATTGGATAATAGCCTCCTTATTTCATAAGGTTCTGTCAAGCTAAGAAGATGCAGAGAGGGATATGGTAAAAACAAGCTCATTAGTAGAAGTAGGTAGCAGATAGCTGAGTAAGCAGGGACTAACATAAGCAGATGTCTTTTCTTTGAATTCCTACCTTATGTTTCTTCAAGACAACTTGCATTTTGTGGATCTGCAATTGTTTTTCCTGCCTTCAATAAATTTTAAATAATTTTTCAGCTTCCAAATGAATTACAATAATGTTTCATGTAGTAACAAGCTAATGCTGATCTTTCTTTATCAAAGTGTGATTGTTTCTTATATTTTAATTCGATTTGTGGTACCAAAAAATTATGACAAGTACTTGATGTTTTAGAATATTTTAAGGGAAACGTTTTCTCTTTTGTGTTTGAGGTGAGGATAAGTCAGTCCAAAGATATACCGAGGGCAGTGTGATGTCATGAGGACTGGAGCTCAAAGATATGTGCTCATGTCCAACTCTGAAGCCTTGGGCAAGGCCCTTCACCTCTCTAGACCTTAGCTTCTTCATCTATGAACCAAATGAATAGGACTGGATTCTTGCCAAGTTTCCGTACCCTAAGCTACTACGAACATGGTGTTATAAAGCAACTAAAAAGTCCTGCTCGAAAAGCTTGCTAACCTAGTTTGTGTGTATCCAATCCTTAATGATTTTCTTCTGAGAAGTGATCATAGTGAAGAAAATGAATTAACATAATACATGGGATATGGAACATTTAAGCTAAAGATTAGACCGATAACATTTTGATATAATCAACAGATAACTACAAATTCAAAGGCACAAATTTAGTAAAGAACAGCATGGGTTTCTATTGACCTCCTCTCAGAATGACCTAGGTGATAGGCAGCATGCCGTGTGTTTTATAAAGGTCCAACAGCTGCAGGCACCAGCTATGTCTCAAATGCCTGGGGTTAGAGCACAAGAATCCCCTCCCGTGTGCCCCCTCCACAAATTCAATGACAAGGGGTGTAGATACCAAAGAGGAAGGCAGGGGAAGATCCTCTGGATGAGGGCAGAGATTTTGCCTTCGGAGAATCCAAAACCCAAGCTTCTCAGGCAACCCAGGATGACTGTGTTTCAGACTTTTGGCCTCGCTTCAAGTAAAAATGAGCCGAAGATCCGTGAGAGATTTTTAGTGGTGTGTTGGCAAAGATGCTTTGCTTTCTCAGACCCTATCCCCAAATTTTAAAAACGTATCACATTTCTGACTAAGAATTGACAAAATGTGAGCCATCTGCTCTTCAGTGTACCCACACTGGAACTACTGGCCAGTTTTTCCTTTTCAGGAGATTCGGTGAGATACTCAGAGCTGGCACTTAGCAAAGGGAGTTGTTTGTGTCTGATGTCCCAGCCTCTCTCTTCCACGTCCTTCTCCCCTGCTCCCAGCATTAGCTATCCAAAATCCTCCTGCTGTCTGTTTAATCCCTTCCCCTACTCAAATCAATTCACCAGAAATTCTCAATATTTAATATGTTTATGTATCTAACTGAGAACTCGAAGGCCTGTGCACATTTTAACATCCATCAAAGGGCTTAAGATAAAGAGATGAGACCCCAGTAGGTAGTACAGAATATTTACACACCACTTTTTAGTCTTGTGAGATCCCTGAAATTATGTCACATAGACAGTCACCAAGTGCACTTACAGACCTGCTTTAGATCATTTATATCCCTTCTGCTTCTTTCAATCATAATGGAAATTCTGTTCCTTTTCATATCAAAAACGTTTTTAGAATCCAGGAAATTTTATAAATAGGAGCCAATCTCCCATTTGCTGCTTATAAGACACAGTAAAGAGTGAAAGTTTCTGTAGACAGCTACTGAGAGTGGCAGATCACAGAAATTGAGAAAAGAACACAATTAAATTGATCTGTTGGATAAAATAATAAAATACTGGTAGATAATCTATCATTTAGACATTCACATGGGAAAATGCCTCCCTTTTTTTCATCTGCCCATCGAGTAACCAAAATAGTCATTGCCTGCGGGTGGGCACATCGCGCGGCTTCTAGAGCCAGCTGCCACTCCCAGACTGCCTGCGTGGCTAAAAATTTGGGCAGGGCCCACAGAACATCGCAAGGCTCAGCCGGTGTGCCCAGCCCCCCTTGATGGCTAGCAAAGCTCTTTCAAACAAATACAGCAACTTGGCCAACAGAGTTCTTGCTCAGTGACTCCAAGGTGTCAGTCCATCAGTCAGTTGTGAAGCCTCTTACTAAAACCATAAAATGTGTAATTCTCGGACTAATAAAAGGTGATACCATAGATTAACTTTCTAAAGTATAAATTTATTTAAATATAGCAGGAGATTTTGCTGAAAGTCAAATTATTAAGGTGATTTTTAAAAAACGTCTGAAGATATGCTCTCATCAGTGTTACCCAAATTGAGTTCTACTAAACAGATGTTCTATAGGTGAAAAAAGAGTCTCCATGGTCAGCTAAGCGTGGGATATATCCCCCTCTGGGATGTTCACCATCTTCATTCGAATACAAATTAGCCCTAGGGATGACTTTTACTAAAAAGAAAGTTTTAACTGTTTAACTTTTTAAACTCAGATATTTGCAAACTAATTTCTCCCATCAAACTTTTCCACATCGCTCTGAACATCTGGAGACATTCGTTTTCAGAGCATGTTCTTTGGAAAATGGCGATACAGTGTCACTCACGGTACAAGGAAGATTTCTTCCCTCAGATAAAGACATTCACTTCATTTTGTCAAAATTTTTTATTCCTCAAGGTCAAAACATTAACCTTCAATTTCCAAGATTTTGGTAATTTAGACAAAGAATTGTGACCCTAGATTCAAGTTGGAGGCATCCATGCTCATCTGAAGTCAGAGAGACAGTTGGGAGAACGGCAGGTCTCCCAGCGCCAGCCCAGCACCTCAGAGTGATGACAGCTTCTGAACTGGGTTCCTGGTTCCTTAGGCAGAAAATGAAAGAACAGAGTCATCCCACCAGGTTATAATAAACCAATTCCAAATAATCTATGAAAGAATAGAAACCACTTCAAATGGTTGAAACTGCTCTGGGACTTGCTGTTAGTAACAGAATTACCACAATAATTTCTTCAGTGAAATTTCCTATTTGCTCATTAAACTGTGACTTTACACAAAGTGGTTTGAGAGAAAAGAAAAAAGAGTAAAATTTAGCTGGTGATCAATTAGTTTTCAAGTTCTTGGTAAATTAATATTATTTTTCTCTCTGCTTTCTTTTTTTTTTTTTTTTTTGCTGAGGAAGATTTTCTCTGAGCTAACAACCGTTGCCAATCTTCCTCTTTTTTCACTTGAGGAAGATTAGCCCTGAGCTAACATCTATGCCAGTCTTCCTCTATTTTGTATGTGGGATGCCTCCACAGCATGGCTGGTGAGTGGAGTAGGTCCACACCCAGGATCTGAACCTATGAACCCTGGCCGCTGAAGCGGAGTACAGGGAACTTCAAACACTGCCATGGGCCGGACCCCTTAGTAAATCATTATTAATTCAATGGCTGAATGAATTATATTTCTCTGGTTTATATTTGGTTTATATTTAAACGCAGATTATTCTTTAAATAATATTCCTACAAAGAAGAAGGGAATAAGCATTACTCATAACTTTTTAAAACTTTGAAAACAAAGATGAATAACAGGCAAACCATCAAAAGAGAAGCAGTTTTCTTCTCTAGCGACTTTCAGAAATTGAACAAAAAGTATACTATATATTTTTTTCTTTAAAATGAAACTGGTACAACTATCGAGAGGTTTAAGATAACTATTCTTTTATTCTGAAAGAAGAACAGCTGTAGGAAATTTATCATGAAGCTAAAAAACAAGTTGTAAAAGGCTGCTGTTTTTCAGAGAAAAAAAGCTTCTTTATACTTACCTTTAGAATATGGCGTTGGAATCATTTGCTATTCCACAGGAATAATAAACTGAATAACTTAGCTTTTACTTGTTTCATATTGGTCTACTATAAAGTTACCCCATGAATCCCGTATTTTAAACTAAGTATCTCCAAAACAAAATGTTAAATTCACACAATACTCTTAAATATTAACACAATATCATTTCTACAGGAAATCAACATACTGCATTTAATTACGTACATTGCAAGTTTTTTATTCCCTTTTCTTTTCACTTTAAATTTTATTTAATTTGATGACTTTTGAAATAATCAACCATTATCATAGAATAGACCCATTACGCTTTGCATTAAGTGAACATTATTGCAAACAGTGATAACAGGAATATCCTATTAGAAATTCTCTGCTTTTTCACAAGTGAAATAAATCTGTGTGTACTTTTAGGTTACTGATTCACATGACATTGTAGTTTGGATATTTTTCCATATCTTTAAAAAAAATCTACCTCATTTTAAAATAAAATTTGTGCAGTATACTCTACTATTTGTTTGAATCATAACTGATAGATGTTTAGATGTTTCCAAATTTTTTGTGGTTGTTACAAATGTTTGTGATGGTCATCCTAGTAAACTACTTCTTTACATTTTTGTTCATATTTCTATATGGTTGAGCCATTCTTCTTATTAATTTATGAAAAATAAAATTAGCCCTTTCTCATATGCTTTTCCAATTACTTTTTCCTATGGCTGTCATTCTTGTTTTCACTTCAATTTTTGTTTTGACTGAAAGATTTAATTTTTTTTTTTTTTTTTTGAGGAAGATTAGCCCTCAGCTAACTACTGCCAGTCCTCCTCTTTTTTGCCGAGGAAGCCTGGCCCTGAGCTAACATCCATGCCCATCTTCCTCTACTTTATATGTGGGATGCCTACCACAGCATGGTTTGACAAGCAGTGCCATGTCCACACCCGGGATTCAAACCGGTGAACCCTGGGCTGTCGAGAAGCGGAACGTGCGAACTTTACCAGTGCGCCACCGGGCCGGCCCTGGATTTAATCTGTGTCCTTAAATTTATCAGGCTCCCTTCATGACTTCCAAATTTTGTGTCATGTTTAGAGGGCCTTTACTATAGCAATATCCTAATGTTTTACTCCATTGCTGTTACGAATTTATTTTGTACGTTACAACGTTGGATCCGTTTGGAATTCATTTTAGGGGAGGAAGTGAGGTAGAACCCTCACTTTAGTTCTCCGGATGTTAAGCCAATTTATTGAACATTGTTAAATAATCCATTCCCTCTCCCATTTATTTGAATTCTGCCTTTATCATGTATTACATTTTCGCATATTTGGACTTCTCCTTCCACATTCTTCAGTCTATTCTTAAATCAGTAACAAACTCTTTCAAGTTCTCTAGATTTATAATTTATGTTAATATCTGATAGGGCTTGTTTTTCCTCATTACTCTTCTTATTTTCAATCTTTCATTTAATCTTACCATTTATTTTTCCAAGTGAACTTTAGTATCACTTTAGAAATTTTCTCAAAAGGAATCCTGCTGGTATTTTAAAAGGAGCACAGTAAATGTATAGATTTGAAGAAAATATACATTATTATAGCATAGATTATTCTTGTCCAAAGTAAGTTTTTCTCTCCATTTAATACTTCATTACCCTTAGAAAAGATTTAAAGTTTTTTTCACATAAATTCTATACATTAATTATTATTCCAAGATACTGCATATTACATATTTTATTCCATTGTTTTTCCAAACTGATAGTTTTAGTAAAGAGGAAACTTTCAGTTATTAATTTTTAATGTTATTTCACTAAATTATTTTTTATAATAGTTATTAGTTGATTCTTTTAGGTTTACAGATATATATTGCTATCATTTACAAAATAAAAAATTGGCCCATACTTTCCAATAATAAATTATAAGTCTAATTTCATTTTTGCCTCTTTGTACTGGCTGCACTTTCAAAAGAATAATAAATGATAATGATATATAAGATTATCTTTTTATTTCTCCTGATGGTAACAGAAATATCTTAGTGCTTTAATATTAAGCCTGATGCTTGCTTTTGAATTAAGACACATATCTATCTCATGATAAGGAAGTTTGCATTTCTATTTTATATTTTTATAAGTTTTATATTAGAAATAAATATTGCTTTCTTTTTTTTTTTTTTTTTTGCTGAGGAAGATTTGCCCTGAGCAACCATCTGTGCCAACCTTCCTCTATTTTGTATGTGAGTCGCCACCACTACACAGCTGCCAACAAGTAGTGTAGGTCCATATCCAGAAACCGAACCCAGGCCACTGAAGCAGAGTGTACAGAATTCCACCACCAGGCCATGGGGCTGGCCCTTAAATATTGCTTTTAAGAGCTACGTTTTTATCATCTATTAAATTGATCATATCGTTTTCCTTTACCTTTTAATATGGAAAATTATATCACTAGTTTTTCAAATATTAAAATACTTGCCATAATTTGTTTTGCAGTTTTGCTTTCAGGGGTTAACAAAGTGGTCAGTAGTCAGTTTTGTTTTTCTCTTTCTGTTATTGTTAGGAGGTTTTGATATGAATTTAAACTTTCCTTTTTTATATTATAGAAATTATTTAGCAAAATTAGAATTATTTCTTTCTAAAGTATCTGAAAAACTGCATCTGTAAAATCTTCTGAGAGTGATGTTTGTGGGGAATAACTTAAACACTTTTCTCAATTTTCATCTTGGTTTTTGGACTATTTAGGTTTTTTACATCTTTTTAAGTAAATTCTAGTAATATATGGAAATTTTTATTATAAAAATGTTTGTTTTGTCTAGGTTTTAAAATAGAAGTAGAGAAAATATTGTAAGATAATCACTTATAGCTAATTGCATTTCTCCCTTATGTGCAGTTGTTTATTTCCTCACTTTTATTTCTAATTTTGTGTATTTTAGCTATTTTATTTGCAGTTTTAAAGAATCATCTTTTAGATTTATGTATAAGTTCTGTTTATTATGCATAAATTTCTGCTTTCATTTTATTGTTATTCCTTCTACTTTCCTTAGTTCCTACTTGTTGATCCTTTTTAAAATCTTGATTTGAATAATTAATTTATTGTGAATCTTTCCTGTGTAAGAATTGAAGACTATGGTAATTGTGCCATACATCACTACAGATATGTCCCATAGGTACCGAAGCTTATTGTTTTCATTTTCCTTATTTTATAAACATTACACAATCAAAGTTTTGATTTTCTTTTTGACCCATGTATTGTTTAACATAGACACCCCATTAATTATTATGAAAGACATTTGTTATATTTTGTTGGTTTGATTTTATAGTTCAAGACGGTTGTATTATTGTTTTAATTTAAATATCTCAAATACCCAAATTAAACTCTTTTTGAAACGCTACTGAATTTCACATAGCCGCTCACATATCTTGGAAATGTAAAATTTCTCTTCTACAACATGAAAATAATAATACTTACCTCATTGGTATTTCCTGTGGACCTTATTTAAAACTGAAGCCCCACAGATAACCACCTTCATATCCACCTTCTTGCTTAACTTTTCTCCAGAGCACTTTTCACCATCTAAACATCATGCGTATATTTTACTTACATGTTTGCTTATGTTTGTGTCTCTCCCAACTAAATGTAAGCTTCACTGGATTTAAGAACAGACTCACATATTAATGCTTCCTACTTAAATTTAATATTATTTTATCAGATGCCTCAAAATGTTGGTATTTCATGAGGATTGCATTAATTATATGAATTAATTTAAGGAGATTTGGAATCTTTGAAATCTGGATTACGTATACCGTATACTCAATAAAGATTTTTATGTGTATATATAGTGAGTATATGTATGTATATATTTGTTTAATGAATAAACCGGCATTATATGCGACACAGAGAGAAACCTTTTGTGAAAAGCATAGCAGGGCGCTCACCCGCTTGCAGGCAGAAAGTCTGTTAGTACACAGTCTGGCCTCTATCTGTTCATCTTGCACAGCATTTGGTGAAGAGCAGTTGCTCGATATATGTTGGTTTCCTTTCAATCAGTCAAAGGAACAGAATTGGTCTCAAGAGCCCCCTATCTCTTAAACAGAGAGTTTTATGTGCATATGCTCGTTATAGGATTCAAGAGGGGATAAACAAAATTTTTCCAAAAAGACAGTTTATCTAACTAATCAAGTTTTATTTTGACCTTGAGCATGTCTCTTACAGAGCCTTATAAACACATGCATATATTAACCACTGAACCAATCAAATCAATCAGATTAAGTTCCATTACCTGGTCTTTTCACTTAAGAAAGTGAAAAGTCAACGACATGACAAAATCTCATAATGAATAGGGGTAACCACACATATTTATTGAGAATCTGTTTCCAGTTATTATTAATGTCATTGTATATGTGATTCAAACTAAATTACTCTATCAAAGGAAATTCACGATTTTAATTTGATTTGAAATAAATAATACAAGGCACCTGTAAAATCAGTGCGTTTATAAACACTCCGAATTGAAATACATAGACATTGAATGATACTCACTGGCTACTCAGTCAGGTTTCTAGCAGGTTTCTTAATCCAGGCTCTCAATTCTATCAGCTTCTCAGAAGGTAGTCAGATTCTGTGGACTTGCTTCATACTAATCAAACTCAGAAACCAACTCTCATATTAGGAGAAAATATATTCACTTTGGATAGGACTTAGCTGTTAGAAAAACACAATGGCTGCGAAATAAAACCATTCACGCTCTGCAGTCATATCATGTTTCTTCCGGGTTCAAGCAACTGGTTCTGTCAGCATCCATATGCATGTCCTACATTTATTGTTCATTTATTGTTGACAGGGTTGAGAAACATCATGCTTTCCAGGTGGATTTAAGAGACATCTCTGTAGCACACATTAACAAAATATTTCCTGAAGTGATCCACTCCAGATTTGCTCATTCATTCATTTATTTTTCACTTGTTCATTCACTTATTGCACGTTAAATATCATACTATGTGACAGAACGTGTGCCAGGCACTGAAGAAATAGCAGTAAAACATAATCCCCGCTTTAAGAAGGTCACAGTATGGAAAGGAAGACAGACATATAAAAAAAGAAGTTACAATACAGTGTGACAAATGTTTTGACAGGGTGCTGCAGAAGCATATTGCAGCTGTCTCATCTAATCAGGTTTTGTTCATTCCACTTGTTTCAATATAAGAGGCTTTTCGGGGGACAGATGAGGAGCAAGGGTGAAACGATCTATACGTTAACTCTACCCTGTATCATAAAAATGCACTTTTGAGGCAAGGAGAGCTATTAACCACACACTTTATAGTCAGCTACAGGAATCATTCTTCCTCTTGGCAAAAAATTACCCAAAGTTAAAAGTAGACCTTAAAGCAGACAAGTTCATATTCAATGGCCATATCTCCAGGTCCCTGTAGCCCAGCTGGAGGTCACCAGCATCTCCAATAGTTTCTACTTGGAACCAGGATTTACACCTTCATGATGAAAGCAAAATTGCCTTGTGCAATTAGACTCAAGAATTATCCAGTCCAGCTGTCTTTGACACCAAGGTGTGGTGACACTCTAAGACCTCAGTGACAAAGATTGAGGAGCTATCCAAATCCTCTATGATTTTTCTTAAATTCTATGTAGCCTCTAGGAAGATGTGAGGACAAGAGAGTAAGGAAGTGATTATTGAAAGGCCAAAACTTGTGAGCCACACATGGCAGCAGATTTTAACTGACCATGTGGCCAATGTTCATCACTTACGCAGACCAAGCAAGCAACCAGGTACTAAGGACTCCAAAGGCAAGGGATGATGAAATGGTAAAACACATTTTATATCTGAGAATATATTTGGGCTGAAAACTAAAGTTCTGCATATCTTTCTGACCTAGACATAAACGAACAGGTTCATTTGAAAAGGTGTTGTTGTATCAAGTCTCTTAACAGGGTCAGCAGTTTTAAATTGTTTCCAAAGACAGCAAGAGTGATGTATTATAGAAAAAAAAATTTTTTTAATTCTTATTGGATATAACCTTTTTTTACTTCTTGAGTGTTTGGGGGAACTATGCACCATTATTATTCAATAACTACTAAAAAGAACAGAGCAGCAATAATTCTTTTGAATTTCAGAGCTTCAAAGTAACATTTCTTCCTACCATCATTAGAGATACTTAGTTACTCACCAGCAGACTGTGTGCCCTCATTCCAAAATATTGCCTTTGTAAGCACAAGAGGTCCCAAAGGAGAGTATCAATGGTTATTGACTTCAAACCACTGACGCAGCAAAAGACATTCATCTGTTAAGAAGGAAAGGTTGAGAGAATGGTACAAGGTCAGTTTCTCTTCAAAACCTACATATGCATCCTTTGCTGTCAATTCACTTCCATTTACCCCAAGAGATTGACTAGAAGTCTTTCTCATAAATTTTCAATGATAATTGGGAAGCTCAATTATTTCCCAATTTGTGTCATTTTAAGAATTTTGTTGATGATGCTGAATTTCAAGAAAATAATATGTATTTTCTGTGAAAGATAGAAAAGTATTGTTCTTAGTTGTTTAAACTTAGCTGTATCGCTCAAGTTTAAATAACCCTTATTATTCTTTGAAGGACGGAAATGGTAAACAAATGGGAAAATGCTAATTATACAATGTTACATTAAAAATGGAAATTAGTTTAGTTTATCTTCAGAAGGCTAATTTTAAAATTATTTTAATGAAGTCTAGGAGAATAAAAGCCTAGAACTTTCTCTGCAGCTGCATGAACTCTTCCTGTACACTGGGATCCCACTAAAGCTATCCGTTTACATAGTCATATTTGCCTGAAATCTAGATATTTTGGACAAACAAAAGAAAAATATTATTGAATATAATTTCAAAAATTCTTCATTTATCCAGGAGATACCTTTTTTTGTTTTCAAAATAACTCTCTCTTTCATAAGCTAGGTTTGTGAACGTAGGTAGCTGTTTTCCAAAACAAAATATTTAATGGAGGCAATCATCTGAAAATTTCAGACCATGAGACTATTAGTTCCTTGAGGGCAGTAATTTTCTCTTAATTGCATTTTAGTCCATAATCTAGCATAGTTCCTGGCACATAGTTGGATGCTCCATAAATATTTGTTAAATGAGTCAAAATAATGTGCTTTTTCGTCCGATATTTTTGATGTGGTTAACAATAATAGCCAACAGTTATTGAGTGCTTATGTACCAGGCACTGTGACCACTTAACATACTTAACTATTTAAATCCTCACAACCATCCTATGACCTCTGGACTACCATTATCCCCATTTTACAGATGAGGAAACTGAAGTATGGAGAGGTTAAATAACTTGCCCAAGATATACAGCTACTGTAGAATAGAGCCAGGATTCAAACTAGGCAAACTGGCCCCAACCCTCTCACAAAATCATGACACTACACTCCCCTACCTTTCTGAATTGATAAGATATCAAAAATTACAGCAGAGTCCAAATATTTTCAATAGAGGCTAGTTACCACTATTGAAAAGATATTGAAAGTTATTTAAAAGATTTCTGGTGGGTCTAGCTTGTTCTTGTGATCTTAAAATAATTTTAAAATAAGATATTGTATATCCTGGAAATGGTTTAAAATAAATAAAACATTAAGCCAGTCAAAACTATTATTCTAAATTTAAAATGTTCGAATAGTTTTTAAAATATATATATATTTACCAAATTTACTGTCACTTGTGTTTTGTTATAAAAGTAATCAAGTCATTTTGCTTAACTAAATTGTTTTTAAATATCATTTTTTGAAGGCAAAGCAGAATGCATTGTAGGACTGAGGGAATAAAATACACTGAAGTGTCTGTGTACATGCAAAAGAACATAAAAGATTTAGATTTGAATTACATGGATTCAGTCCACTAATTCACTTAATATAGATAGACAACTAAAATTAAGAGAAATTAAGGGTAGAAAGTGCAATGGAGAAAATGGTTCCTTCTGCACGCAGAGGTCATGGCGGACAGTAAAGCAAGGTCACTGAAGTTATGTGCCTGGACTAGATTTTAGTCCCCACCCTTATCTCCACTGAGGCTTTGGGTCCTCCTGACTGATTTTCATGAGGTGAAGGGTGTCTGCAAGAAGGTCGCTTCTGATGCATAAGAGCCTGGAAGTGAGTTGAAAAATACAAGAAAACTTGAACTACTTTGACCCCAACCAGCCCCAAGGAAATCACTTGAGCCAAATGAGAGCAGGGGCTTTCTCTCTATTTCTGTGATGAATACACAATGGCACTGAGGACTCTTCTGATGCCCCCTGGATGTGCAGATTTTAAGGATCCTATACTAGCACTCAGGACAGGAACCTTAAAAAAGAGAAGACGCAGTAGAAGTTGCTATGGTTATGGAGGGCTTAACACATGTCAGGCACTTTCCAACTACTCCAAATGCATTCTCTCGCTTAATCTTAAAACAATCCTCACTTCCCGCATAACAAGCTGAAGCTTAGGGAAGTTAAGCACCTCGCCCAAGGTCACGCAGCTGATAACCGAGGTAGTTTACCTCCAGAAGCCGCTCTCCTAAAAAGGATAAATCTGGTGGAAGAATGGATCGCTGGTGGACATGGACTCTATGAACCCACATAAAAATACTCCCTAGCAATTCCCAAGAACCCTTTTAGGGTAATGGGGTGGCAGCAGTAAGGGGAGTTTCTGGGATGCTGAGTTCCTACTTGAGTGGGTGGGACAATGTCTCAGTGGGATTCGAGTGTAAATTCTAAGGTGAACTCATTATTTCCCCAGACTGATGAAGACTGGTGGCATTTGGACAATATATATTTCATGTATTTTATATTTAGAGGAAAAAAGCACATAGACACTAGTAAAGATTAGTTAACGCTGCTGTAGATGTACAAAATTTCAGGACTGAAGTAGCGAGCTAGCTAGAAAACCAAACAGTGTGATTCAACTGGACTAAAGATCTGGCTTGAAAGAAATGGGACCAAGTGCTGATTCAACAAAGCATTTGTACAAACATAATGAGAAAATCTAACGTAGAAGGCCCAGTGAGATTCGGCTAGCCATTGACATGAAAAGGAATTAAAGGCAGTCCCCTATAACTCAAGGCAGATTGTGCTCAAAGATTCCGTTTGCAAATCATTTCTCACTTGGGAGGCAGGTCCCTTAGAGAAAATGTAAAAATGGTGATTGGATCTTGGGCCAGCCCAGCTACAGAAATCTATTTCACTTATAAAGACCTGAAATACACTTTCAGGAGTACTTTGAAGCTCACTGCCATGTACAACACTGTTTCTTTTTACCTTAAATCATTTTGGAACAAGGCAGAACTTAAGTAAGTGGAAATAAGCAAAAGATTTCTGTAGGAAAATACATTTGGAAATTCAACTCGGTTATGCCCCAAACACATTTCTTTCTTGTCTTTTAAGCAGAGAATATGGAGATTCCCCGGCTGGTGGGTGAGGGCAGATGAGCTCGTAGGGCAATGACTGAGGGGAAAGTGAGTTCTTTTGCCGTTGCATGTTAAAAAGGAGAAAGCAGCCTGCTTAGCCAAGTTCCACAGTCGAATTTTAAGACTACTGTAATAAGCATATAGAGTTGGAGAGAGGTGGATGTTAAATAACACAATAGGAGCAGTTAGATTGAACTGGCCTGAAGCCCTATACTCCTGGATCTTTCAGTCCTGTGACAGTAAATTAAACACCCAATTTTGTTTATCACTTTGTTTTGAGTCATTTAATTTGCAATTGCAAGGCTCCCAAGGAATACAGGAGTCTCTCCGGGTGTTAAGAAACTAGGTGGAGCTTATGATGGGGTGAAGAATAGGGATGGTTTTGGGAGGGAGAGAAGTATCATGGTGATAATCCAGGCTTCACATGGCACTTGGAGGCAGGTCCAAGGAGCAACAGGAGCTTGGAGCTCAGTGGTACCTGGATAGACTCTCCTTATCATACATCCCTCACTTTTCCTTTTTTTACCGCTGGGGTTCCCCAGGAAAAACTGGCATTGGAAGGAAGGGAGAACAGGACTAGTTCAGGAGTCAGTATGCTGTGGGGAGGGCTAATAGGGGCTTCTCCAAACACCAGGACAAAGTCAGCAGCTGCAGCAGTAGTGCAGAGAAAGGCTGGTGAGAAAAGTTCCCCTTGCAGCTACATTCCTTGCAGATATTTTTATTACAGGAGTGCAAAGAAATTGATCATTTGTAGTTCAGGCGCTGAAAGAAAAAAAAAGGCATACATGTAATCTTACTAGATGGTCATGTTACAAAAAAGATGAAAATGAAGCTTTTGATCCAAGATGACTTAAATATCTAAAGAAGACAATAGGATCTCAAGACCTGCTTTTCAGAGACTTTAATTAGATAACCACAATTTGCGTCACTGACAGCCCAAAAGTCCTCAGAAGACATTTGAACTTTGCAGAAGAGAACCCTTACTTTCCAAAACTCAAGAAAGCAAATAAAGATCTAGTCACGTGTTTGTTCCAATCCAACAGGAAGTCATTAGCTATAAGCCTGGAAGAAAGTATGTCAACAGCAGAGATTAATTAAATGTTTAGCACTAAGCACAGTCCTATAGCAATTATTTGGGGAACATTTTCCAACTACAACAAAACAGCCTGGGGATAGGTACAGAAGTTGCTCTATAATGTGGACTTTGAGAACATGCTGCAAAGAGCAGAAATTTAAGGAAAGAGGGAAAATTCTCAAGGACCTCTACAACAATGGCTCAGATTATCACTTAGAGACAAATGAGAAAGGAGTAAGCTAAATAATTAGAGAAGGCTTCATGTTACAATAACCTGTGAAGAAGTTTTCCAAAACCAGAGAAAGAATGAGACAGCCAAGAGAAGAACCTATAAATGTTTATCTAAAATGCATTTAGAAGAATACAGGAGAAAACATAATAAAAAGGGTAATTCCCAGGATTGAATTTAATAGACTTATCAAATTTACTGAATTTACTAATAGGGCTTTCCTTTTCTAGTAAGAATGGGAATCCTCTGCAATTTCACATTGAATCTCCTCAACAGGGAGACATTGCAGCATTTTTAAGAGGGAAGGTGTGATACATCTAAAGATGAGAAGTCCATATGCCTCTGTGTTTAAGTGCTAATTTGATTTGGGAAACTTTTATGCACTTAATAATTACCCCCTTTCTCCTTGTTAATTGGTTCCCTACCCCCACCAGCACCTCCCAACAGAGGAGTAAAATGAATTTCCTTAGCACTATGTTTAGAATTGTTAACAGCTCCTGTGAAGTTATAGCCTCCTTCACAACAGGAGCAGCTGGAGGAAGGTATAACTCTGGCACTCT